CGTATAACTCTTTTTTTCTTTAAAAAAAAAAATCAATTATTTTATTAATATTTATTATTTTTTCACTACAATAATTTTTGACGTCATTTAGAAAATTTCCTAATAAACTTTTAAAATTTTTTAATGTCAGACATCATTTAAAAAATTAAGAATTTCGATAACAAGCTAACTTTATAAATTCATCGACGGTTGTACAGTAATCAAATGCATAAATCTTCTATATTATCTTGAAACTCATTTCGAAAACTATGTTATAAACACATTGAATGATCTAAATGAATATTGAAAATAGTTAAACGTATATCAAACGTGTTTTTTAAAATTTTTTCTAAATGACGTCAAAATTTATTGTCGCAAAAAAATAATAAACATTAATAAAATAATTAATTTTTTTAAGAAAAAAGACGAATTATACACATTTTTTAACACACACGTTTGATGTACGTTAACCTATTTTTGATATTTATTTAGATCATTCGATGTGTCTATAATATAGTTCTCAAAATGAATTTCGAGAGAATATAAAAGATTTATGGTAGACTTCTATAAAAAAAAAAAAACTAAAAAAAAACCATCCAGTGAAAAAAAGAAAAAAATTTGACAAAAAAAAATATCAATCGCCCCATGAAAAAAAATTGACATTAGCATCATTATTATTAATAAAAAAAAAAAAAAAACCAACTCCGTGCATCAAGGAGCTTATGCTCCGTGATGCACGAAGACAATTTGCTCCTCGGGTGCCAGGAGACAATTGTAATATTTTTGGTTTTTTTTTTTAATTTTATTATATGATGTTCCATGTCAATTTTGTTTTTCACTGAGTGATTAATATTTTTTTGTGTCAATTTTTTTTTTTTTTGTTCACTGGGTGATTTATTATATTTTTATAAAAATCTACTATAAATCATTTATATTATCTCGAAACTCATTTCGAAAACTATATTATAAACATATCGAATGATCTAAATGAATATCGAAAATAGTTAAACGCACATCAAATGTGTAAGTTAACAAATGCGTATAACTCGTATTTTTCCTCAAAAAATCAATTATTTTATTAATGTTTATTATTTTTTGGCATAATAATCTTTGACGTTATTTAGAAAATTTCCTAATAAATTTTTAATTTTTTTTAATGTCGAAAGAAACATCATTTAAAAAATTAAGAATTTCGATAACAAGCTAACTTTAAAAATTCATCGATAATTGTACAGTAGTCGAATGCTTAAATCTTCTATATTCTCTCGAAACTCATTTCGAGAACTATATCATAAACACATGAAATAATCTAAATGAATATCGAAAACAGTTAAATATACATCAAACGTGTGTGTTAAAAAATTGCCTATAACTTGTCTTTTTCTTAAAAAAAATTAATTATTTTATTAATGCTTATTATTTTTCCGCGACAATTTTCTCAATATAATTTACACCATTTTCTTAGAATCATGTATATTGTTTATTTCTTAAAAGCAGTTGTGATAAATCAAAGTAAAACTTAGCACAATGTTGAAAAAATTTAATACTCAATCAAATAGATGTCGATTAATTTATTTGACGATCTTGAATATTTACGATATATATAAATTTAGGAGGACTAAATTCAAATATATCAAAATTAGGCGATTAAATAAAAATCTCAACCCTATTTAAGTGACAAAATATTATACTGTAACTCAATTTGTGTTTGGCTCCATTAAATTTTTTTCATTTTCTCTCTTTTATTTTTAATAGCAGAATCTTTCTTAAAATAATATTACATGTAAATTTAAAAAAAATCATTAAATCGATTGGATATTGAACAATAAAAAAGATTCGATTAATTACACGATTCAATTATATTGAATCTAGTTATCATCAAATACGTCATTTATATGTAAAATAACCACTCAAACTAAAATTATGTTTGATATATAAATTATGAACTCCAATAATTTGGGTTTTTAATTCATGCATTGAGGTAACATTTATCATATCCCTAAAAATACATTTCAATTATAGCAACACAAATTTGAGGCCAACTAATTTTTCATCTTGATTATTTTATCATCTGAAAAAATTTTATATATAAAAGAAATTCGATCATTTTTAGGAATTTTTTTTATTGTTACTTTTTCTGCTCGATCAATTAATTATTTAAATAACCTAATAAAATTTTTGATGTTTTTTAGAAAATTTCCCAATAAACTTTTAATTTTTTTAATGTCAAAAGCGTGTCATATATGAAGATTACATTTTCATTTATCATTTTAAACAATTAATCAAATTTGTAGATTTATTAAGAGAAATGAATATATATTTTAACACGTTACTATTACCTAAAAAATGACATAGCCCGTGCATTGCACGAGTGGAAAACTAGTATAATTAAAAATGGAAAAGCTTCCCTTCACAAGCCCCTTTGCACAGGGCTTGTACAGGGGGTTGTCACATGGGGGTGGACCCCACATGTAGCACAACTCATTAAAAATTTCATTACTTATCTTTTCTTAACATGCGATTTATAAAATTGTCATAGTCGAGCAAAGTCTCATCAACAATATAATCTTGAATGGAACAAGCTAGAAATAAACAAAAATCACGATCAATGTTTTATTGGCATTTAGAAGGAAAAAGATTTTTTTTTTTTTTAATTTTTTTTCCCACCTTGTTGGCATCAACGTGTGTTCCTTTTTAGACATGGATACACCACAATGACAAAAATTTTGTTAGAATTCAGTGTAAAAGATACAAAATCCGTTCTATCGAAAATAAAGAATCTGGCAATGAATTACTATAATTAGTAACTGAAACACCAAGCAATATAAAATACTGAACGTGAGTTAGGTTTTGCTTTGTTACGAACAATTTGAGTTAGTTACAAAATGAAAGGTACCTTCAATTGAAATTGTGGTTGATTTTAAAAATTATTTTAAATTTAGGTGTTCTCAATTGAGATTTTAATGGATTTTAATGAAATTTATTAAATTTTAGGTGTTCCCAATTAAGATTTTAATAAAATCTTTAAAATTTAATTATTCTCAATAACGAGTTGATTTATAAAGATTTCATTAATAGGTGGATTTTAAAAGATTTGGGTGGATTTCAAGTTTAAAAATATGTATAATCAAATCTTTTGAAATTTCACCACATTTGATGAAATACTTATGAAATTTGTGGAAATTTATTTAATCCTCGAAATTCATCAGGATTTATAATCTTTTAAAATCCATCAATATCTTAGTTGAGGATATATATTCGGAAACTATTTTCAAAATTTAAGTTAGTACCAGGCGATTTCTAAAGGTTATTTACTATTAGATCTTTGTTTAAAAAATAACATACGCTCATGCCTGATGGGATTAAAATCAGATTTTTACTAAATTTTGATAAAAATTGAAGAAATATGCTATTAAAAAGTGGTGAGTATCATAAAATATGTAATTAAAATTAGTTATTACCTTTAATTAAATAAAATCTTGATTTTAATCCCCACCAAACTATGCAGTTGAAATTGTTAATTATCTTAATATTATTTAATAAGTGTAATCTGTGTAGTTATTAATTATCTTAAAACTTTACTTTATTTGAAATTGTTAATTAATAAATTCTATTAATTTTTATTAATTATTGATAAAAAATAAATAATTATCTATTACATAAAGAAACTTTATCATCTATTTTCAATAATAATAAATTTTAGAGAGTTTGAAATAAATAAAACTCTTATTTTTCAATTACCCTAAACGTGTTCAATACGTATCGAAAATTTAAAAATATAAAATAATTAAAAACAAGGTATCGTGTATGTATTAGAGCATCAAACTTGATTAATACATATCCATACACAGTATGCAATATGGAATTAAAATCTTTAAAATTTAATTATTCTCAATAACTAGTTGATTTATAAAGATTTCATTAATAGGTGGATTTTAAAAGATTTGGGTGGATTTCAAGTTTAAAAATATGTATAATCAAATCTTTTGAAATTTCACCACATTTGATGAAATACTTATGAAATTTGTGGAAATTTATTTAATTCTCGAAATTCATCAGGATTTATAATCTTTTAAAATCCATCAATATCTTAGTTGAGGATATATCTTCGGAAACTATTTTCAAAATTTAAGTTAGCACCAGGTGACTTCTTAAGGTTATTTCCTATTAGATCTTTGTTTAAAAAATAACATATGCTCATGCCTGGTGGGATTAAAATCAGATTTTTACTAAATTTTGATAAAAATTGAAGAAATATGCTATTAAAAAGTGGTGAGTATCATAAAATATGTAATTAAAATTAGTTATTACCTTTAATTAAATAAAATCTTGATTTTAATCCCCACCAAACTATGCAATTGAAATTGTTAATTATCTTAAAATTATTTAATAAGCGTAATCTGTGTAGTTATTAATTATCTTAAAACTTTACTTTATTTGAAATTGTTAATTAATAAATTCTATTAATTTTTATTAATTATTGATAAAAAATAAATAATTATCTATTACATAAAGAAACTTTATCATCTATTTTCAATAATAATAAATTTTAGAGAGTTTGAAATAAATAAAACTCTTATTTTTCAATTACCCTAAACGTGTTCAATACGTATCGAAAATTTAAAAATATAAAATAATTAAAAACAAGGTATCGTGTATGTATTAGAGCATCAAACTTGATTAATACATATCCATACACAGTATGCAATATGGAATTAAGTATACATGCATCCATGATCAGGTATGTAACAATGAGAGTTTTTGATCTTTGATTCGAAACATTTAAAATAATTATAATTCTGTATTTTAACAAAAATTAAACTGATAATTCAGTCTACCAATTTCGCAAAATTAAAGCTAAATTATATTTTTTTGTTGGCTTATTCTAATTATTTGCAGATGATGAAGCACGAGTGTTTTGGATCATAGAGTATGTTGAACGTGCTAAGAATCAGGAAATCAAGAAAATTTTATACATAAAAACTTATAACAACAAACTGATTTTTAAATTTTAATACATATTTTCTTTAACTAAAGTATTCAAGATTTATTTATTCTCAAATGGATATTCATAATCATCATACATTAGTATGTATATTACAGCTCAGAGAGTCAACGGAGGGCAGAAAAAAAAAAGGGCAGAAAAAAAAAATGCAAAATTTTCCTGACAGTATTCATCAATATTTTGTTCATCTCGATCAAATTGTTCAGAACATTTTACTTCTGCTTGGAGGTGCATAGCTTCTACTTCTTGGATACAAATTCGGGTTTATCGCCACATCTTCCACAAATTCACAGGGTTTGTCTTCATCAATCCTCCCAACAGTAACAGTCTGTGAACGAGGCACAACCTTTAGTACTCCAGGTAATTGTTTTGACCGGAGAATCTCTGTCTCGATTTTTCCGGTAAGACTCCGGGTAGAAGAAGCCCTAATAAGTTCCCGGAAGTCTTCATCGGAGCTTGACACCGTTGAGTTAACACTGAAACTTCTAGGCAAACTCGTGGTTTGTGGGGTTGGACACCCCATGGCACTGGCATAAGTGAATTCTCCAGCGCAATTCAACATGCTTTTAACGTATAAATCCCTGGCTTTGGACAAAACCCTAATAGGTGCTCTAATGAATCTGCTGATTTTGCTCTCTTTTGGGCTCATTTTTGTGGTTCAGAAGGTTTTCCCCCCTATAATTGATTATTTTTTGGCCTGTGAAGAACGCGCACGGGGGATCTTTTTAATAGAACAAATTTTGGAGTAGATCATAAAGAAGGAAAGATGGGAAAATGGGTGGAAACAACCTAATTAAAACTTGTTTGGAAGGGAGAATCTAATTTAAAATGAATGATCAAAATTTAATGCTAGTTTGAGATAACTTGATAAAAACTTAAGGTTAAAGTCATCGATTAATTTTAATCACACATTTCATGATATTCATAATTTTTATCAATTGTTTAATCAAATATTTCGTCAACTTTTATCAAAATCTACTAATATTTTTATTAGAAAACTTCGTCAAACAACCCTTACGGTTCGATATTTTCATGCATATGATGAAAGACCTCATTTGGATGAATGCTACTCAATGATTAGAATATGGATTTGAAAGTGATGTATATATTTTTTATATGTATTATCAACTTGCACAGTATGTTTAGGCACAATAGTAGATATTTTATGTGTGGACTTTGTCAAAATTAATATAGCTGGTGAGGATTAATTAATTCAAAGATTTTGGACACTAGTTCAAAATAAAATAAAATAAAATATTCGAGATAAGAAGAAGTCTCACAGAAAAGTTAGAATGTTTTTTATTAAAATCAAATTCACGGGTAGCGTCCGGTTATTTTCCGCTTTTGTCTTCAAGTAATATACAAGTCTTGACATGAAGAAAAATAAAAAAACCTTACAAATGAAGGATATAAAATTAAAATATTTCTAATTTTCCGATCAAAGTGGAATTTGAGTCCCTTTGTTTCTTTTCCTTGGGGTCTTTTCTTCAATTGCGATAGAATTGAAGTTACTTCTTCATTCAAACTACTAATTTTTTTTCAATTTTTTCCCTCTCTCACGTGGGCACATAACACTTTCTTTACCAACTATTATGACTTTAAGAGGTGCCAGAACATAAAATCGCAATAAAAAGGACGTGCTGATTTTTTATTTATTATTATTATTTTTATAAATTTTGAAATTTATCCAGTCTTTTGATAATTGTCAATCTCAATCATAATGCAATATGTATAAGAATTAGTTTAGATGTAAATTTTTAGATGATATTATTGTTGACATTATGTGAGTTGTCAATATCTCTGTCATTGATCGCTTAAATGCCTCGTATACAAACAACATGATGTATCTTAAGGCCAGCTGACTTTGATTGATAGCTTGGTTTATTCAAATAATTAGTTGGTTTATCGGACTTTCAATCTTTGCCAATTTTGTTATATCGCAATTTTTTGACTGGCTTAATTTCTAGCTTTTTTGACTTAGTCGATATAATTTTCATTTTATTTTATTTTAACAATAAATTCTCCCGACAAAATTTAGCCCCCTTTTGAACCCCATTCTTCTTCTCATTCTTTTTCTCTCTTATTTTCAACCACACAATCTTCCATTAAATAATATTAAACATAAATAAAAAAATTTCATTTTTTTTCAACCACACATTTTTTTTTTTTAAAAAAAATACCATTCCAACCATTAAAATTTGGAAAGAACGGGGGCTTAATCTACAAAAACTACATAAACAGAACCTTAATTTATAATTTGTTTCGTACTATACTCTCGAAATAAAAATAATGTGGTAATATGAATGATGAGAGTAATTAAAGCAAATTTTGATTATGAATCATTTTTGTGATAAACTAAGCATAGTACATTTCATTAACTTTATCAAAGTTTATTAAAATTTTTATCAAAAGTTTTGTCAAACAGCCTTTAAATTTTTTTTATTTCGTTGGTCACATTCTATTTATGTACGTACGCACATACGACTTCATTTGTTAGATACATTAGGGGTGAATATGGTTCGATTTGAATAGTTTGAGATAAATTTTCAAATCAAATCACTTTAAGTGGTTTGAAATTTTATCAAACCACTTCGATTTCTAACCAAACCAAGTCAAACCATATTTTTTTATCAGTTTGGTTTGATTTAAAACCTTGATTTAACAAAATCAAAGTTAATATATCAAAAATTAATCATCGTACAAAAATTACAAATTAAAGTTTTATAAGTCTAATCATTATAATGAAATAACATGATAGAAACATTTTAACCTCTTAATTGATATTAATTGGGGCAATATTTGCAATTGTAACAAATGATTCATTCTCTTCATAAAAATAACATTATCTTACACGTATTTATTGATTATAGTTAAATAATATAAAAGAACTAATAAAAGAAAATGAATCTTAAAATCTAATACCTAATACAACTTTTTGTGAATCGTCCAATGCTTATACTTTATCCAAATATTGACGAATTGCTATAGATTCTATGTTATTATGCAATCATTTTTTAAGTCAAATCATCGCCTCAATCATATTTGTACTCAATGAACTCATAAAGAAATCAAGAATTCGACCATTAATAGGAAATGAAGACTCAGAAATAATTGTTGATATTTAAATAGTTAACTATCTGTAGCAATTTGAGGGATAACTTTGTATTTATTTACATTTAATTTTCACCAAAGTAATATGTCGACATATTTATTGGTCAAATCTTCAAAATGATTATTTAAGTAATCCAAGTTAAAATGTAGATAATGAATCGAGTGACCTAACTAGAAAATTAAGATACAAATAAGCAAAAAATGATGTCAGCTAAAAACCTAAGGGGGTTCGACAATGATTAAAACAAAACAACATAATTACCAATAAAAATATAGCAATTTTTTTTAAAAAAGAAATTTTGGATAAATTGGACTCAAAATTTAGGCAAAATTCAAGAAAATTATTAGTAGAAGAAAAATAAATATTTAAGTTTGAATTAAAATTTAGATTTTATTGTCTACCCAATTATAATTGACGATCGATGAATATTGTTTAGTAACAGTAGTTTAGTACTTCACCAGTTTGAGGGTTTTATATTCACAATTGTGATGATTGATAGATATTTGCATATAATTTAATTAATGAATTAGGATGTATAATTGTCTACTTAGGTATTTAGTTTAAAATACCTAAATTGAGCTTGCTTAGTATGGAGGGAAAATGCAACCAAGGGACCAAACCTTTCATTTATTAGTAGATTTTGCCCAAGTCTTTTATTTGTGCCACCTTGAACGCCAAACCTTTAAAAAATTAGCTGCTCAAGTCCAAAATGATGATTTTCGTTAGTTTGACTACCAAAATCGTTAGTTGACTCCCAAAATAAAAAACTTTATTATTTTTCCCAAGTAAGGCAGGGGTTTTTTTGGATAAAACAAAATTTTCCTATTAAATAAAAAATTGAAAAAATAAAAAATTTAAGCCACAAACCATTCCCATCTCCTCCTTTCCCAAAATCAAAACCACTCTACCCAACGCCATAGCCACTGTCGGTAGCCACAACTACCCACCTAACACCGACATTACCACCATTACTGAGCTTTAATGGGGGGAAAATGATGATCGTATAATGGAAAGGTTTTGGGAAAAAAGGGATGGCAGTTAGGGCTGGATATGGTTCAATTCGATTCAATTCTAATGAAAAACGAATCGGACCTGAAATTTTCGAGTATTTAGTAAGTGGAACCATCGGGTCCAAATTTAATTGTGGAACTGTTTGGGTCCGGTTCGATTCGGTTGCCGGGTTCCGTATTATAATTAATTTTTTTAATATTTACAAAACTATGTTAATTCAATTAATGATATGTTCAATTTTAGCTCTTACAAATAATGTAGTCCAATCTTATATGTTTTTGCATTTTTCTTCATTGAGTTTTTCATAGATTAGATTGTTAAAATCATAGGAAGAAGAAGATAGCAAGCTCACAATAATTAAAAGATGCGTTATCGAGTTTCAATTCGATTTCTCCAGAACGGTAGAAACGACATTATGGTAGAGTAACAAATTTGGATAAAACTTTGATCAATTTGATTAAGTTGGCTTTAAACTGAAAATTAGAAATAAGAAAATCATATTTTTGGGTTTGAGCTAAAGTAAATAGTTCGCAAATGTATTTAGAAAAAATAAAATAATTTGACTTATTTAAAATAAATTAATTAAAAAAATTAGGGATATTTGATTTTTATTCGGCTCTTGATCTAGAATCAAGAATCGAACCAAACATGTTGGTTCTTGATTCAAATACCCGTTCGAATATTTAACTTAAGAAGAACCACTCGATTTGAAAATTTTGTCCAGCCCTAATGGCATTACAGTGGAGAGGTTTTGAGGTTCGTGAAAGGTTGCAGAAATACTATTACTGAGCTTTAATAGGGGATCCACAAGCCAAACCAAGGCCTTTTCCCCGAATTCGAGAGGAAACTTAGACCTTGGGTTGGAAACGCAAAGTAGCTCAAAATTGGACAAGCGTCCCGAACAAGGGCTTGGTCGAGTCGGCAATCACATTCAAGACCTTGATATAGTATAGTTGATGTGATTCTCGAGGCCCAGTAAAACGTTGAGGTTGTGGAGGTCGACGTTGGCATTGATGGCTACCACGTAGAGCCTAAGATGGGCTAGGGAGAGGCTGATATTGGCGGCGGTGGCGGTCTTACCAACGCCACCTTTGTCGGAAGTGATGACCACCACATGAAGCGTCTGACAGGTCAGATGGGGCTTGCGGTTGTCCTGGAGGAGGTAATGGACAGTGAGGGTTCTATGTTTTTATTCTTGAGGGTTTTGGGAGAATGGGATAGCAGTACAATGGAGTGGTTTGAGGTTCGTGAGAGGTTGTAGAGATACCATTGCTGAGCTTTAATGGTGATGTCGATGTTGGGTGGATGGTGGTGGCTGCCGACAGTGGCTGTGGCGATTGGGTAGAGTGATTTTTATTTTGAAAAAGAAGAAGATGAGGATGGGTTATAGATTTATTTATTTTTTGTTTTTTTTTTAAATTTTTGATTTAATAGAAAAATTGTGTTTTATCCAAAATGCTTTTGCCTTATTTGGGGAAAATAATAAAGTTTTTTTTTTTAATTTTGGAAGTCAACTGACAATTTTGGTAGTCTAACTAATGAAAATCATCATTTTGGACTTAAGTTGCAAATTTTTTAAAGGTTTGGTACTCACGTTGGCACAAATGAAAGGATTAAGCAAAGTCTGCTAATAAACGAAAGGTTTGATATCTTGGCTACAATTTTCCCTTAGTATGGATGTATCTTTTTAATTGGGATGTGATTAGTTT